CCCCCCCCCGGTGCGCCAGCCACTCACAGAGGCAGCAGCATATGGTGGGGCTGGGAGCAGCACGGAGCTGATGCTGCAGGGAATTGGCTTTTAAGCCAGCTCCCCCTAGAACCAGCTCCTGCTTCTCCCCAACCTTTCTGCCTCTGATACAGAGGCAACCCGGCATGGGGGGGGAAGGGGGAAACGCAAGTAGTCAACTAGATTAACCGATAAACCTAGGTTTATTGGTGAATCATCTACTCAACTACTCGTTCACATCCCTAGTAGTCATCAGTACCAGTTGATGTCAGGAAGACACTTTGTCTCTGTCAGGCATAGGTTTCTCCTCCCACAAATAAAGTTATTTGATTACATCGATTTGGTTGTTGATCCTGGGGATATTTGGGAATCTTTGTAGTCTACTCAATATCACATCATGAATCCTACCCAGTCTAAAAAGTTTCTTTTGGTCTTGAATTGGTTTTTTCATTGTTTATTGTCCTGGAGGATTCCAGCATCCATACTGATTATAGTTCTTATTTGTTGCCTTGAAAGCTCCAAAACACAATCCTGGGATTATTCCTGGAGGTTTCAGAATCAATGTGGCCAAAGAAGCATGTTCGATTTTTTTGGAATATATCTGAGAATTAAATATCTGTAAGCTGTCCTATTGTCTATGTGCTTTGTTTTCTGCATCCCTCTGGTGCACAATTCCATAGATACTTTCTAATATTTGGATAAGAGTTTTGGGGATTTTTGGTGACAGTAAAATGCTGTATTTTTAATTGTTATGCAGCTCATTTCTTTGGGTTTGTTGGGCTATGGAAATCATGCAATACAGTATTTTTAACCAAACAGAATTTTCCATGAACATTGTTTTAACAAGCACACAAACTATATCTCCACAAACCTCTCTAACCTGTTGTTATATATACTTTCTGAAGGTCCACAAGGAGAAATGAGTGCATTAAATTCAATACCTGGACTACCAGGACCTCGGGGGCCAGAAGGGTTATCAGGACCTCCAGGAGCAATGGGTGAGAGCATCTTCTAGGTTAAATGCAATAAAACTAAGCCCATCAGAGAGATTCTGCATGAAATTCTCACCCTCACTCTGGGTTCTTTATGCAGCGTGAAAGGTCCAGAGAAATGATCAGGAACCCTACAAGTTCTGTTTCCAGTTGGGTGAATTTTCTCAGCACTGGCATTGCAGAGACAGCCATATGATTGCCTTCCAAAGATCCCTTTGCAAGCTCTGGTGTATGGCGTGTAGGTGGGGGCAGGAAGGGCATTTTGAGGGCTATCTGGAACATGGTGGGTGTGTCTAGACTATGCCTCTCTGTCGACAGAGAGATGTAGATTAGGCACATCGAAATTGCTAATGAAGCAGGGATTTAAATATCCCATGCCTCATGAGCATAAACATGGCCGCCGCTTTTTTTGAAACTGAATTTTTAAAAAAATCGGAAGTCTAAAAAAAATTCTTCCAGTCCAGGGGATGGGAGGGATGGCCAATGGTGGCTTTAAGCCACCCTTGTGCTCTCTCAACTACTGCCTGCTCTGGGGGCTGGAACAGCCTCAGTGCAATTTGGACAGTGGTGGAATCTAGTCTAAATTATAGCAGTCACCCAGACTGCCTTATGGATGGCAACACTGCCCAGAATTTCCACAGCACTGTCTACGTCTATACTGCATCCCTCTGTCGACAGAGGGATGCAGTATAGACGTAGACAGTGCTGTGGAAATTCTGGGCAGTGTTGCCATCCATAAGGCAGTCTGGGTGACTGCTATAATTTAGACTAGATTCCACCACTGTCCAAATTGCACTGAGGCTGTTCCAGCCCCCAGAGCAGGCAGTAGTTGAGAGAGCACAAGGGTGGCTTAAAGCCACCATTGGCCATCCCTCCCATCCCCTGGACTGGAAGTTGTGTGCTGAACCACAAAGAAGCATAGCACAGAACTGACCCATTGGTTCTGAACTAGCTGGAAAGTTATAATATTTGTAACAACGCTTTTATAGTCTTGCTGGGCTTTTTGTTAAATGTTACTTTCTTATTAAATTTTATTATGTTTCTACACAGAATGATTTCAAAGATTATGGGGCCAGATTCTCATCTATTTTAAAGCCCCTTTGAAGTGCTCCTGTGGTACAAAGGGACCTGTAAAGCAGCCCCTAAGCATCATAGGGGAATCGTAGGCTGAAATAGAGCTATGTTGTCTGCCTCTCCTATCACCTCCTTCCCCAATGTATGGTCAATAAGAACATGCAAGTGGAAGATTTATATATGCACATAGCTACACACATGCATCCCAGACTTGTGCATACGCAGAGGGCATTTCAGACTTACGCCCCTGTGACATTTAGCATTTTATTTGGAAACAACTTATCTGGAAGTATTCAAGAGAGGAGTAGAAATGGTGTCTGAGTACTAATAAACCCATTGACTGTGACATCATTATAAGCAATGATAAGGGGTCAAACACCAAATTGCTAAATTTAGAAGATCTGTGGCAAAATATCTGAGAGTTTCTCTTCTGATAGGTAATGTTGGATCAAGAGGACACTGTGGTGATTTGGGATTACCTGGTCCTGAAGGTGATCCAGGATTTCCAGAGACTGGATTTCCTGGAAATCCTGGTCCAAAAGGTAAAATGTTCATTTAATATTTGAAAATAAATCTTCATTAATTGTTTTAGTAAATAAAATCAGTTGTTAACAATTATTTTAACACAAATACAGGTCAGACGAATAACTCTTGAAAAGGCCTATATTACGGTACTCATATGGTTGTCTACATTAAAGCATGTAAATTGAAAGTCAAATGAAGGGGCTGCACCCCTTGCTTGCTACCCTCACCAATCTCCCTCTCTCCAGCAGCTTTCGTGCCCAGAGAGCATGAGAGCTACGCTCACCAACCCCCTCTCTCAGGAGATAGGTGTCTGGCCAGTGGGGAGGGTGCAAGAGCAGGGGAGGGTATAGGAGTAGGCTGGGGCTATGTGTCTGGCCAGGGGGAAGGATGCTGGAATGGGCTCAGCATGCGGGGTCTTGGCTTCGGGGGGTTAGAGTGAGGGTGGTGGGGGTGCATAGTCTCAGTGGAGGGGGTAAGTGAGGGGGCTGCGGATGCAGGGTCTCGGCAGGACGATGAGTTACGGGGCTGGGGGAGGTTTGGGAGTATGGGGTCTCAGCAGGGCAGTGAGTGGGATGGGAGTGCGGGGTCTCAGCTTGGGGGAGTATGAGTGAGGGGGGTAGAGGGGCAGGGTCTCGTCTTGCAGGAGTGGGGGCTCATACCTTGAGTCTGCCCTGCTGCAGACATGTTTAAAACTCCCCCGGGCACCCAAGGCAGGCATGGATTCACCCCAGGGTTTGGGTGAACAGGGTTAGAGTGCAGTGCACCACATGCAGCAGAAATACGCGTAGCACCAATGAGGCCGCATGTTTCCCACCTTCCCAGAGCACCAGGGAGAGAGGAGGCCACATGTCTCCTGCCTCCTTGGAACACTGGGGAATGGGGAGGGAGGAGGCTGCGTGTCTCCTGCCTTCCTGGAGCACCAGGGAGGGAGGAGTCTGCCAAATCCCTGGAGCATTGGGGCGGGTGGAAGGAGAGGCCACGCGGATCCCAACTTCCAGGAGCACCAGGGAGGAGGAGGCGGACCAGAGGAGCTGCCTGTAGTGAAATTCCAGCTAGGGGCAACGTGACTGGTGATGTGATGATGTCACTTTGTCATCTTGCAGGGGGAAAAAATTATATATTGAGAGAGATAATATTTTATCTATTTTCCAAAAGTGAAGCATCAGAACTGACAAAATGGTGTGTATTTGGAAAGATGTACACAAAGATTTAGCTGGACAATTTGCCTTACTATAACATCTTGAGAATGCATATAAAGACACACACAAAACATATAACATATCTCAAAACTTCCTATAAAGAGAGAGAAGACTCTATGAGGTTCACCACTAAAACATTTGCCATATTCTGTGTAGTACTTAGATACAACAGTGATGACTGGTACTATTGTATCCCTGAGATGTGAACATATTGTAGTAAAAGGGCCTATGTAAGTACCAGTGCTGTAATTTTAAGGTGTATCATGGTGTTCATGAGTTACCTGCTCTCTTGATAAAGGGAACAGGAAGTGTTTCAAGTACTGTGAATTTAGTACTTCCCCAAACAAATATAAGCCCCACTTCTAAAATATCTCCAGAACAGATACCAATTCCAGAAATATTAGAAGACTGGCCTTTTCTGTTACTCCCTCAGAGTTGAAGAAGGCCTATCTGGAACATGGATACTGAAATCATAACTGCTGCTTTCTGTCAAGAATGACCAAAAAATTGACCAAATAAATACCCCATTTAAAATTAGATAAGAGCAAACAGAAATCAGGCGATGACTCCAGCCCTTTTCCACCTGGTATCAAATCAAAGTGTAAAGGCAACTATAAAAAGCTCATTAAATGAGTCTTAAAACTGCAAAAATCAGTGTTTGAATGAATAACAAATTGAACAAGTCACAGTCAAGTATGCGACAGCTCATGAACAAGTAAGTAAAAATCTCTCTGGCTATGGCTACAGTGCTGTTTTTTGTGGAAGAGGATATGCAAATCGTGCTTGCATTTGCATATCTTTCCGATTCTTTTTGCGGAAGAGATTTTGCCGATAAAAAGCCCCATGTAAGTGGGCCATTTGTTGGAAAAAACCCACTTTTGCAAAATCCTGTAAACCTCGAATTTTGAGGAATAAGAGATCTTGCGAAAGAAGGTTTTTTTTTCAACAAATGGCCCAGTCTACACGGGGATTTTTTTTGGCAAAACCTCTTCTGCAAAAAGAATCGGAAGAAGATATGCTAATGCAAGCACGATTTGCATATCCTCTTCTGCAAAAAAGCGGCAGTGTAGCCGTATCTTCTGTGTGCTCATTTAGCAAAATAAATGGATAAGCAGGGTGTTTTCACCTGCCAATTGGTTTGCTTTGCAGGAGATAAAGGTCTTCAAGGATCAAAAGGATCACCAAGTTTGCCAGGAAAGGCAGGAAAACCGGGATCCCCAGGACAGCCTGGATACCCTGGTGAAAAGGTTTGATTAGAGACACAACTCATGCTTATTCAGGGCTGCTTGTCAGCAAACCTGTTTCTAAACAAATTAAGTAAATAAGAGGTTTAAGGAGCACAGGATTTGGTCCTTAATTGATAATGCACAAACTGTGAAAAGTATTTACATTGAAAGGGGGCTCAAGCCATAAAAATTAAATCTAGATTTCAAGCACCCTACATTTCAGAGTTATACCAGAGGTTGTTTTCAGGGTCAAAGAGGATTTTCCATTACTTGCATCTATTGATCAAGGCCACAATTTCTGAAAGCATTGCTGATGATGAGCAACAATTAAATTAAACACATGCTTACATCCCACCCATGTAAATGAGAGATAAGCACATGCTTAATATGAAGCATATGCTTAATATGAAGCATATGCTTACATGATCTCATGTCTGAGAACCACTTATCTAAATACACAATTGGTAATTGCATATGCATGAAGTCGCTGTGAACATGATTTAGTTCTCTGGGCAAGGTCTGCCTTGATACAGCATCTAGCACAGTGGGGTCCTGGGCCATGACTAAGGTTTGTAGGCTCGGTGGTTGTTATAATAATAATAATAATAATAATAATAAATTATTGTTGACTTTATCACTGTTATTTGAAAGCCAGTCAAAGCAGTTCAGTCAGCTTGTTAGAAAGAGTAGGTCAGATTTTCCTCTTTTTCTTTCATATAATTTTCCTTTTGAGAAAAACGGCCTCACTTCAGATAGGTCAGAGCATTTTGAGGCATGTTATCTGAGAATTTACCCTTGTACTGAACCCTATTCTCTTTCTCAGGGTATGTCTACACTACCCCGCTAGTTCGAACTAGCGGGGTAGTGTAGACATACCCTAGTTGTTTGCAGAATCTAAACAAGCACCTCAGAGAAATTCCATAAAAGGCATGTGTCACTCAATTTTAATTTAACAGTTTTATGTTTATGTAACAAAGACACAGAAAAGTATTCCTGAAAGCAAGATTGCTAATGTTAATAATTTCCCTCTTCATAGCAAATTTTACACTTTGTCCTATTTTTACCTTCCCTTTTCCTTACGCATTGCTGAATTTGATTGCTTGGGCAGGTGATTGATGTTGTGTTATCTAATTTAGGTTTCAATAAAAAAGATATTGGCAACAGGACCAATAGGATGGATGAGCATTAAGACCATCTCAGGAAATAATGAAAATGAAGGGTATTCCATGTAAATAAACATAAATCAAACTAGTTCAAAACAATAAAGGTGATATTAAAAAAGCCAACCAGGGAATAAATGTACCAACTCACTAAATTAGATTGCTTCGTTTGCTGGGCCATTATTTCAATATGTATTTACTCTAAAGTATGAACGCTGGGCAACCTAAAGTAAATGTAGAACTCACATGGATTTCAAGCAGCTGACAGATAACTGAGTTGTCTGAAGTGCAGATGCAAAAGGATACCTGAGAGCTGTGGAGACAGAGAACTGTGAAAGGACTACCTTGTATTGTTCAGCAATGATTCTTCCAGCTGGGAGAGGAAGCCCCATCCAATGCTCATGTAAAGGAATAATACTAAAACATATAGCCTTTCAAGAGCAAGAGGTGTAAAGAGGTATTTAGTGATGAGGAAAGAAGTGTATTTTCAGTGCTCTGACAAATGTGAAAGATCCCCTGGTGGGAATGGAGATAATAACTTGAGAGAAGAAATGAACTTTTGACAGGACAGAGAAAATCATATTTTTAGATTTACAAAATTGAATATGAATTCTGCATTTACATTTTCCCTCTGTTGTAGGGAGACCCTGGATTAATTATTCCTGGCCAGCAGGGTGGATTAGGTTCCCCAGGAGGAGATGGCTTTCCAGGGGTAAAAGGTGACAGAGGATTTCCAGGATTTCCAGGTTTACCAGGATGCCCAGGACTTAACGGTGCTGATGGGCCAAAAGGTATTGTCTTTAACAAAACACAGCCAAGGAACTCTTTGCCTTATACACAGCATGTTGAGCAAGGCCCTAAGAGGGGGGAAAGGACAAACTTATTGTCCATCGACACAAACTCAAAGTTGTAAGTAATTTAATATTTTTTCTCTTTTAGGAGAACCTGGCTCACCCGGAGCCCGTGGAGAAAAAGGATTTCCAGGAAAGTTTGGTGATTGTCTTATTGGCCCACAAGGACTCCCAGGTGCATGTGGAGTAATAGGCCAACAAGGTAGGCATACATAGAATAGCTGCTAGATCTGCCTGATACACAGTTGACCGAGTAAAGTTTGGTTTTACTTTTACCCTACAAATACATGACTACAGGTCCCAGTATAGTGTGTTTTTCTTTACAGGAGAATACACACATTTACTATATGCCATGCTTTTGTTTTCTTAGGAGAAGGAGGTACACCAGGATCAAAAGGAGACTCTGGTATTCCAGGCTTGGCTGTCCAAGGATTCCCTGGAGAATTTGGGCTGCCTGGATTACCAGGTAGCCAAGGAGATGTGGGATTGCCTGGTCACAAGGGCCAGCATGGCAGACCAGGAATACCAGGTGTACCAGGTCAGAATTTCCCAGATACATGGGGAAATAATTTTGATCTACATAGAAACAGAAAAAGCACAGGTGCCCTGGTGTCTGTTCCATCCATAGCAATCACAGCTTACATGCGAGATAGCGTCCAGGCAGTCTATACGCTATCTTTCGAAAAAGTGCATCACTTTTTCAATGCGCTTTTGCAGTGTGGACGCTCTCTTGCGCAAGTAGTTTTTTCGGAAGATCTCTTCCGAAAAAAGCTTCTTGCACAAGAAGCCTGTAGTCTAGACATAGCCTATGTTCCTCCATCTTCCCCGGAAGAAATCCAAAACTTCTTATACGGTCTGTAAATTCAGCATGCTGCTAATTATTGAAATATCAATGCTGGCAAGTCTAACTTTCTGCTGTCCCATCCTCCTGCACAAGAAAGAGTTTCCATTTTACAGACATTCTCCCTGTGTGTTAGCTTTTCACCTAATATGCCTTTCTTTCTGACTTCTGCTGTGCTCTTTGCCTTAGAAGACTTATTCCTGCAAATACCTTCTTCCTTAATTTATCTTACTGCAGTACAGTGACAGGAAATCCAGATTCGTCTGTTTACTTTAACATGTTTAAATATTGAAACTGATGCATAGATTTATAAAGACATAACTGAAATCAGAATCTGTCTTCCTCCAAAGGTTAGCCAGGGCATTCTCTACTACTTGGGGTGGGCATCCCCATAATTGTAAAGGAATAAGTTCTTAATGGTTAAGATTTGTAAGGAGCAAGGAAGAAATCAATTGTACACAGCTCCTTATTTACAGCAAAAGACTAAACCTTTCCTTTTTAATGTCCAATATATTATGCATATCTTTTGTAAAATACAAATCTAATAAAAATGTATTAAGAAATAACATAAAATTAATTATATAAATAACACATATTGCTACAAGTAATTAGCCATGAACATACTTACAAAACATTTTTCAAAACTAAAGCTCTTCAAGTGCTGGCTCATGTCCATTATGTGTTAGGTGTCTGTGCTTGCCACATGCAACAGTGCTGGACATTTTTCCCTCAGGGATTTCCCCTTTAGTGGTGCCACCAGCTCCTCCTGGAATGGGACTTAGCCTCGGGACAAGGCATGCCCCATTCTCCAGGATTTAAGAACTGTTACTGGTGTTAGAAACCTATGCTAGTTAGCGATCTCCACACTAGTTGTTTACGGTGTCTAGGAGAGTCTCATAGCAGCAGCAGATGTCAGGTTTTGTAAAAGCTTTAAGCTTCACACCAGAAAGGAGTGGGATGTTAGGCATGAAACTCTACTAATTGAGTCAGCGCTGATACGGGCACCAGAGTGATTATGCTCAGACTCAGTGCACAGCACTGAAGCTTTTCCTGGCACTGGCCACTAAGAAGAAGCCGAGGAGAGGATGATCCTTTCTTACAAGGGCAAGGAGAGGGCAGATAAGCCTAGACAAGGGTTGCCAATTCTGACAGAAGCTATTCCAGGAGCTTTTTTTCCCCCCAATATGATGTCATGTCATTTTCATAAAGTGTCCTATTAAAATCTCCAGGATTGCTTTCAGTAGTCCCCAGGAGTCTGATGCTGATTCCAGGAGAGTTGAGGCTGACCCTGGGCAGTTGGCAACCCTAACCTAAACCCACAAGGGCTGGCTCATCCCCTCCAAGTGGGAATTGGGCCCCAGCTTCTGTTGACTGGGTTAGCCCACCCAGGGATGTGCCCACCACCCCAGACAGTGGCTCAGGAGACCAGCACTTGGAGATGTCGGTGACTCAGGAGGCCCTGCAGGCAACACAGGATGTTTTGTCCCTCCCGGGGCTGCCCAGGCTGATGATGGCAGTGACTAAGTTACAGGGTAAGCCTGCCCTAGGACTGCCCCTTCAGTCCCAATCAGTGTGACTCTGCTCATCCTCTCAGGCAGTATCCCACCAGCACTCCTAGCCATCATGCCATTGTGTGAAGGAGCTCACACTTTTGCGAGCTCCCTTTTGTGGTTGAGGGCATGTCTGCAGCTTCTCTGCCCAGCTGTTCGCCGGGAGTGGAGGTATCCTGGAAGGTTTTCTGGTCAGTTGCCTGGGACCAGGATTCTTCTTACTTCTTTATTGTGGCTGCTGTGGGTTTGGGGGGGAGGGGAGGGCAGACTTCTGACCAGGTCTGAAGACTAGATCCCACTCAGAGCTGTCTAAAGTGCTTCTGTCCTCCCAGCCAGCTCTTAGGTCTGCCTGGGACGAGTTCCCATGAGGAACTGCCAGGCCCTGGCCCAGCAGCTTCTTTTATATCAGCCTGCTGGTTCCTGATTGGCTGTAGCAGAAGCAGCCATTCTATTCTTCTTGGAGGACCTGTTTTCTGCTCTTCTTCCTGGGGCGGGGTGCAGCAAGGCCTCCAACCTCCTGCAGGGGGAGTCGGGCCTACTCCACCCCATCACACATGGACATGGGACTACTGCTGTGTAGGAGCCCTCTGTGCCAGTTGCCGACAAGGTGGCACAGACCTGTTGAGGCATGTGTGACCCTACAGCCCTGGTACTGGGAGCATTGTAGCATTCAACACAGCAGGTTCCCAAAGCTGCGACACTTGCCATACTAGGATCATTATCTTCATCACCAAATGAGGCTATCATGGGTCTTCCCCAAGATGATGCGAAAGCTCACCAGAAGATTTTGAAAAGAGAGGCTTCAAAGTTGGGGCTGATAACTGAGGAGTTAAAGGACTTCTCAGACTCCCTCTTCAACGTCCTCAGCTTGGCAGCCCTGACCAGAATCGCAGTACAGGTACATAAAGGGGTGGCCAAAATTACCAAGGCCCTTTGGCAGACTCCCTCATCACTCCCCCCATCCCCCAATCTCTAAAGGGTGGAGCGCAAATACTATGTACTCACTAGTGGATATGAGTATCTGTACACCCACTTTGTCCTGAACTCATTAATGGTGTCCTCAGTCAGTGAGCAGGCTTGGCAAGGCCAAATAGGTGCTACTCCCAAAAACAGAGGCAAAGAAACTGGACTTTTTTGGGAAAAAAAGTTTATTCATCAGGGAGCCTTCAGCTTTGAGTGGCAAATCATCAGGCCCTCTTGGGCCAGTACAATGTTAACATTTGGCAATTAATGGTCAAATTTGCTGACTCCCTCCCAGAGGATCCGAAGAAGGAATTCCAAGCCACACTGGAAGAAGGACAGGAAGTCACAAGAGGAGCACTGCAAGTGGCCTCAGACATGGCTGATTCCTCAGCATGGGCAATGACTGTGGCTATAGCTATAAGATGATCGGCATGGCTTGAGTCCTTGGGTTTGTCAGCAGAAGTCCAGCAGTTCATTCATATCCGACGCTTCAGACCTCAATTGAGTGCACACATGAGGCACGTGGTCAGTACAGGAGTCAATGATACATGTAAATGTCAAGAAGCTCAGGGCAGTCTGCCTAGCCTGCGAGGTGCTCCTTTCACAGCTGTCCAGCCAAGTGGTTCCCATGTTGACAGACAACATGGCCTTGATATTTTACATCAGCTGTCAAGGGGGAGCTTGTCACCATGATTGCCCGGGCATGGCTATGCCATCATTGATTCAGCACGCTGCTAGATATGGTATTAGCCTCTTCATGGCTGCTGCCAGATCATCTGGACCATCTCTCTCAAGACCACAAACACCTCTTGCATTCCAACCTTTCCTTCCTCCACCTCACAGCATGGATGCTGCATGGGTAACCTGAAGGAGAAAGCTTGCTCCAGGAAGGTGCAGCAAGTTCTTTTGGGGAGTAGAAAACTGTGGTGTATGAAGGCACGGACTCCAGCCGGTGCAAGCACGAAATCGTTTTATTGCAAGATTACAACTATCTTTATTCCCTCTCAACTTCCCAAAAGTCCACATCCTGCTTTTCACAAACTGTGCTTTCTCACAGTCCCAACACAGCATTCTCAAAGGTCGTTGACTCGGGCAGATGTTGTTATTGTTGGCTCAGGACTCTTGATCACGCGTGTCCCCGCTGACTCCTGGATCATCCTCCAAGGTCTGCAGCTTTTCTTGGTTTTGTCCTTGGATGCCCTGTCATGCGGTCAATGCACTATACTTGTTGATTCTCTACAGAAAACACTCCATTATACTGACTTTCCTGGCAAAGTGGCAGAGTTTCTTCTACTGGGCATTGGAGTATAACATCTTCCTAACTCATTCTTCTTTGTAGGCAATCCTGGATTACCTACTAATGCTGAAGAATAAGGACCTGTCCCTTTCTTCTATGAGAGTCCGTCTAACTGCCATCTCCGCTTTTCACTCACCTATCCAAGGTACATCAGGTTTTCTCACATGAGATGTCAGTCAGGCTCCTGAAGGCCTTGAGAGGCTGGCTGTCCCTGGCAGTTAGAGATTCTGTCCCACTATGGGATTTTAATCTATTTCTCTTTAGACTCCATCCTTTGAACCACTGGGTTCTGGTTCCCTTTCCTGCCTATCATGGACGATCCCCTTCCTGGTGGCAATTACGACCGCCTTGACCGGAAAACTGTTGAACAGTCTTCTATTCATCTATGACCCCATCCAGCTTTCCTGCCAAAGGTGGTGTCTTCCTTCCACATTAACCAGGACAGCTTCCTCCTGATGTTCTGTCCTTACAAGACCAGTGAGGAAAGATAGAGATGTTAAATGATTAGCCTCATGCTAACCGGTAAAGTTAATGGTTAACCAGGCATTTCCGGTGAACTCCACTGATAGCCAGCCATGCTGGATGACAGCAGCCATGGCAGCAAAACCTCATGGTCGCAGCTTGACCCATTGCCATGGCAGGCCAGATGACTGTCCCTAAGTTAACTAGTTAACCGGTTAAGCACTAGTGATTAACTGGTTAACTATTTTAACATCCCTAATGGCTACACATCTTGGATGTCCGCCAGGCCTTGGCTTTTTACCTGAAGTGGACCAAGGCTTTCCACAAGTCCACACAGCTCATCATTGCAATGACTGATAGGATGAAGGGCCGTCCGGTCTTCTCTCAGAGGATCTCACCAAGGCTTTCCACAAGTCCACACAGCTCATCATTGCAAGGACTCTCAGAGGATCTGCAGCTGGATTACTTCCTGCATCCAGAGCTGCTATGAATTAGCATGGGTTCAACTACCACTTCTGGTAAAGCTCACTCGACTAGAGCTCAGGTGTCCTTGATGGCCTTCCTTATCCATGTCCCCATCCGGAAAATGTATAGAGCCGTAACCTGGTCTTTGATTCCCATGTTCACAGAGCATTATGCCATCACACATCAAGCCAAAGATTACATTGGTTTCAGCAGAGCTGTGTTGCAAGCTTCATATCCATGAACTCCTACCTACCTCTATTGATACTGCTTGGGGAAGTGGACATGAGCAAAAATTCAAAAAAGAAAAAAAACACAGTTACTTTTTCAATAACTAGTGTTCTTTAAGATGTATTGTTCATGTCCATTCCACGATCCACCCTCCTTCCCCACTGTTGGAGTTCTGGTAAGAAGAAACTCAGAGTAGTGGGAGCCAGCAGTGCCCCTTATCCTGCACCATATGGGCTTCACTCCAGAGGGGAACAGAGCTGGCCCCCTATGGATATCACTGAGGGAGAAACTTCCAGCACCAGTGCATGTGATGAGTACGCACATTTAATGTGCAATGGACATGAGCAACACATCTCAAGGAACGCCAGTTATGGGAAAAGATAACTGTATTTTCTGGAAACACTTTACTAATCAATCTATTCAGAAACATGCTTTATATTTTTCCATTTCCCTAGGTCAAAGAGGAGATCGAGGTATAATGGGCTATTTAGGAATTCCTGGACCTCCTGGTGTCTTTGGGAATCCAGGTATTCCAGGAAACAGAGGTGAGTTGCCATGATATCTACCTTATCTAATTATTTAAGAACATAGGAATAGCCATAGTAGATCAGACTCAGTCTATTTAATTCAGGATCTTGTTATACACACTGGCTCAAATCATATGCTTCTGAAGAAGATGCAGGAAACCCCAGACTAGACAAATGTGGTATAATCTGCCCTCCATGAAGGTCAATCTTTATCCCTAATAGTAAGAGATGAACTAAAATGTGAAACATGATATTTTATCCCTTCCAATACACTTTTTCTTAGCACTAACTATTACAACTCTGAATATCCTTGTTACACAGGGACACTCAACACCCTGGGGCAAAGTACTCCATCCCAGGCCCTACATCCACACCTGACCCTTTCACCAAACCCCCATTTCCACTCCACTCATTACCGCTCCATCCCAAGCTTCAACTTCTCTCCACTCCTTTCCCCAAGATCCCGCCCCATTCTGGTTCCCACCCAGTTCTACCTTCTAGCATGCCCTGTCCCCACTCCTTCCCCTTTCCCCACTGCTACCTACATGCTGCAAGAACAGCTTTTCTGTGGTGGGAGGCGCTGGGAGGGAGGGGGATGTGTTGGCAGGAGGTGGGGGCACTGGGGAAGGAGCTGGCTTCCAGTGGGTGCTAAGCGCACACTGACTTTTTTTCCATGGGTGTTCCAGTCCTGAAGTCAGTCCAGAGAGTCAGTACCTATGCCTTGTTATATAGATGAATATTTAGTCTTTGAATCTTGCTAAATTCTTGGCTTTAATGAATTCCATGGTCTACTTGTAAATTGAGTAAAAAGTATTTTCTGCTATCGGTTTTGAATGTTAAGCCTTTTAATTTCATTGAATGCACTTTTGGGGGAGGTGTTATGAGATGAGAACAGAAGTTCCCTCCTACTTTCTCTAGATCATCGCCTTTTTAAAATACTGTTATCAAGTCCCTGTTATATATCTCCTTCCTTAAATAAACAATCCCAATCTTTTCAATCTCTCTTCTTTGGAGTTTTTTAATTTACACAATTTGTGGATTATTTTTTGGTGTGAGCATGGTAATTTCACTTTAGCAGTCCCATTACACAGTCCACCATCAATTTTTTTTTATTACATAATGATGTAATTATTTTATTACATAATAACATCATTTGGTTATCCAAGCACTTGCACATAGGCAACTTCCATTAAAGCCTATGGAAATTTCAGATGCGTACCTAATGGAGGGATCAGACCTCTGGCACCTACAATTTCCTTGTAATAGTGGGAATGGCAGAAATTAAGTTGCCATTATTTTCTGCTGCTTTTAAGAAGTTGGTTCTTCTGCTTCATTACCAGTCACATTCAGTCATCATTGGAAACACTAGTTTATTTTTGTTCCTTTTCCATTTACTGTTACTAGTCAGGTTTCCTCCACATATTTCATTATATTGCTCTGCAGGTTCTCCTGGCCTTCCAGGACTGAAAGGAAGAAAGGGCTCTTTAGGGGCAAAAGGTGAGCCAGGTGATAAAGGACTTCCTGGACCATTGGAGACTGCAAGGGATATTGGAGATAAAGGAGAACCAGGATCAAAAGGTACAACTTTTTTCCCATTTTGTTTGAAAACATTTAGGGTATGTCTACACAGTAGCGCGTACCTCGAAATAAGCGACATAATGTGAGCTGCACAAATTGCATAGCTTATTTCAAAATAGCTTATTTTGAAATTTGACGCTGTCTACACAGCACTAATATTGAAATAAGTCGCTATTCCAGTGTCTTCCTTACTCCTCATGCAACAAGATTTACAGGAAGCTGAAATAAGATGTTCATTATTTCGAATGTATTTCAACATAACGGGTGTGCCATTAAGATGCATAGAACGCTATTTCAGGATAACAAAGGTTATCCTGAGATAGCGCCTCTGTGTAGACGCACCTGTAGAGAGCAATCATCAAAATTAGCATTCAAACAGGACCACAGATGTGCCAGACCAGAGAGACCCAGAAGTATCAGTTTGATGTCATATCGTGTGATATTCTGTTATGTCAATAGTGTATGAAGTTTGCACAGATTTAATAATCCTTGCACCCACAAACTTATGCAAGTGAACCATTTGAGTATTTGCGAACAAGCATGTTGAATGTGCTCATAAATACCTGATTTGCAGAGGTATACTGGCATTTGCTCTCATAAGCAAGATACCATGCACTTATCAGCACACAAGATGCATACACTTAATCTTTACAACCAGGCCTGAGGTGTTATAGCTTTTGAGATATTTTCTTTTTTAATTCTATATGGCTATGTCTACACCACACATTTTTGCAGCAGAAAATATGCTAATGAGGGACTCATTAGCATAAGTCACAACATCATTAGCATATTTTCTGCTGTTTCTTTTTGCGCAAGGGATTTTCTGCTGCAAAAACATGTAGGGTAGACATAGCCTGTGAGAACTACTAGAAATTTTAACAGAGAGCCCTTGTATGTTGTAATACATTTTTTTTCTTCTAAGAGGATAACTCCCAATTATTCACTTCAGTCTCCATTTTTCCTTTTCCACTGCTTTTAAGAGATGATTTGATGATATTATGAGATACTGTTTTTAATTTTATTCCATACAATTGCTATTATAGGATGTCCAGGAAAAATAGGTCTGAAAGGAGAAAGAGGAAATAAAGGCATACAAGGATCAGCTGGGCCTGATGGGACATCAGGAATATCAGGTCTACCAGGTATGCATCATCTGTGCTTCTGCTTAAAAAAATAGCCCACATCAAGAGAAAAACGATCTCTTAAATATCAGTATTGACCTAGAAAGTAGGAAGAAGGAAGAGGCCAGTACCAGTAATAGGAAAAAGTAGTAACTAGCAAGAAATAATGCTGGTGCTCCAACTCTGTCTCCTCTTTTTAAAGTCTCATGTAGAACAGAACCAAGCCTCACCTGTCTCTGAGCAGTAGAACCATTAATGTATGCATCACATTGATCAAAGACATTAGGCATATGAACAGCAATACTAAATTATATTAAATTAAAAAGTCACCAGACGACGTTGACACAAAATAAGGTCATGAAGAAACTCCACAAACCACATGAACAAACCCCCTAAATCCTGTAATCGAGGGCTGGACAAAATCCAGCCCGAGGGGCCGGATCCAGCCTGCCAAGCCACTGGATCCAGCCCATGGACCACCCTGCCTGGATCTCAGGCACACACAGCTGCTGCGGTTTAAAACACTGTCCCTGCGGCTCTCTGCTCTGCAGGGAGGGGGAGGCTTCATGCAATCTCCCCATCCCCAGCCCAATCTTCAGCTCCTATTGGCCAGAAACAACTGGCCAATAAGAACTGACCTCCGCCAATCTCTCAGTTCCTGTTGGCTAGAAACAGCCAGCCAATCAGAGCTGAGAGATTGGCCTAAGAGACTGGGGCAGCGCAAGCCTCTTCTCTCACCTGGAGCTGAGAGCCCCGTGGAGGGAGCAGCCCATATTTTCAAATGGGCTGGGGCTGCAGCAGGCAGGGAGCCCAGCCTGCCTTGGGGGTGCTGCAGCCTGCTGGCCAAGAGACACTTAAGTAAACTCCTCCCTGCCAATGCCTGCCTCTGGTACCCCAACTCCTTTGGCACCCCAACTCCTTCCCCCAGATCACCATCCAAACCCTCTGCACCCTCCGCCCCAGGTGACAACTCCCTCCCTCCCCTTCTCCACCCAAACACCCTCTCATATCCCAAACTGTTTCCTGCACCCCAGCCCATTATCGCGTGTGCCCTTCTGCATGCAACCTTCTATCTAGACTCCACACCCCGTCACGGGAAAGTGAGGCCCTTGACCATTTACCAAAATCTTAGAGTGGCCCCCCCACCAAAAATTATTGACCACCCATGCTCTAATCCCACTGTAAAATACTTAGTGGATAGCTAGTGTACACCCTTGCATTGTGCTCAGACGGTTCCCAATCTCAGACCTACCAGGAAAGAAAAATTCAAAGCAAAACCAAAATCTTTATCTATAAAGTCCCCAGTGGACTAGGTGTGGGATAATCACAACACCAGAATTAAGAATCACCTGGAGACTTTTAAATTAGCAATCAAATACAAGATCCTTCTCTTTCCCATGCCTTTCCAAAAACATTAGTAACAATAAAACATCTGTACATGTGCTGGGCAGAGGAAGACACTATGTTTAGACTGCCAATTGATTGCTTCTGAGATGCCCTGGTAGTGAGCATGGGAATGGATACTTTGTGCTCATGATAAATGCAAGTAGCCTACATTTCAGGCACACATATTGAGACCAGGTTGATACTTTGTCATCTTACAGGTCCAAAAGGATTACCAGGACCTCCAGGAAACAGAGGTGGTATGGGAGTGCCAGGTGATTTTCTATAAAACCTTGCTACAAATGTATATACTACATAAACACAACTGTGCACTTACTTGGACAACTAATCTTTACCCCCTCAAGTATCTATTGGCTTTATTGGGACTATTTAAATCAGCAAGGACTGAGCCCTGTATCTGTAAATGTGGAACCTGATTATCCTAAATTTAGTGCTATATATGTATTCAGCATGCAATCTTGTAATACATTTACTGAAAATCGTTTTAACTTAATGTCGCTGTTTTAGCTGAATCAGTAACTAAAACCCGCTCGTATGCATCTGTGGTTAACTTTCTTATGGGGGTTGAAGATACTCTTAGTATTTTGGGATAATATGTCAATGTATCAAAGTGAGATTGATCCATTTTAAAACAAGATTCAAATTTGGGTAAATAATATAACTTTGCAGATTTCTTCTTGTGCTTTCACTTACTGTTTTCATCAGTTATGAAAGATGCACCAAGCCTCTAATAGATATTGTTATAGCAACAGAAACAAATTAACTCAGATAAAGCTCCTAGGCTGTCTCTACACTGGCACCTTTTTCCGGAAATGCTTAAAACGGAACAGTTTTCCGTTATAAGTATTTCCGGAAAAAGAGCGTCTACATTGGCAGGATGCTTTTCCGGAAAAGCGTCCGTGGCCAATGTAGACGTGCTTTTCCGGAAAAAAGTCCCGATCGTCATTTTCGCGATCGGGGCTTTTTTGTGGAAAAGACTACTGTGCTGTCTACACTGGCCCTTTTCCGGAACAGTTTTCTGGAAAAAGGACTTTTGCCCGAGCGGGAGCAGCATAGTTTTTCCGGAAAAGCAGCTGATTTCTTACAGTAAATCGTCACTGCTTTTCCGGAAATTCAAGGGGCAAGTGTAGACAACTCGCAGCTTATTCCGGAAAAGCGGCTGCTTTTCCGGAATAAGGGGCCCAGTGTAGACACAGCCCTAGTGTTTCTTTTTTCCCCCTCCTATTTGACTCAACTTTTCTGAGGTGAGAAGAAAAGTGTGATGTCTCTGCATGGGGTGGAGACTTCCAGCAGTGCCATACAGGACCTGTACAGTGTTTCTGAAGAATACAGTTAGAATTGGGCTGATATGTAGTACAGCCCAGACTCCTCATAGCCCCCCCTTCCGATAGTCCGGCTCTGCCCCAGGCGTCCCCGATTCAGCCGCTGCTGGTCAGTTTCAGCAGCGGCTGAATCGGGGATACCTGGGGCAGAGCAGCTGGGGTGCTACTGGGTTGGTCTGGTAGCGCCGCCCCTCGGCGCTGTGAGACCAACCCGGCAGCACCCCAGCTGCCCTTCAGTTTCAGCAGCCGCTGGCCTTTGGGGTGCAGCCGGTTGGTCCCCCAGCCCCAAGGGGCA